CTGCAACAATATGCTATTTTTGAGATTAACCCTTTACTCAGAATAGGAGCAGTACAGAAGCAATCAGGAGTAGGTTAACAGCAAAAGAGACATGTAAAACATTTAACCAACAAGTGAAGCCTAGCTCTTAATGGAATTATGCTTCAGGTATCTTTCATTATTTAGAAATTCTCTCCAATTCACAATTAACAGAATTAGCAGTTCTGATGAATATTTAGACCCTCTTACTCCATGTATGATGAATCAGAGATCTCTCCTGAAACTCAAGGCCCATGTGCAGTTCTGATTTTTTTTCCAGTCTTTCTCTCTAAGTTGGATAAGGCCCTCTTGTAAGAATGACAACCCTATCTATTAAATAGGCTATTATATCTGGAAAAGGAACATTCTGTTCCTCACAATTGGGTATGCCTCCATTCTCCATCTTAATAAAAAGAGTTAGCAAGTTATGTTAGTTCACAGGAAAAAATAAACCAGAAGCATTTTCATAAAACCTTTAGGAAAACCAAACAAAGGGCATAAAGTGGTTCAAGATTCATAGACATGCTTAGTAGGGTTGGATAGAACTGGAGTTAATTCCTTCCTCCTCTGGTTTTAGCCTTCTTCTTGCTTGAGCCTTAAGAGGGAAAAGAAGAGGGGGGGGGGACTGGAGAAGGAAGGAATTAACTCCTCCACTTTTCCCTCCTGGCTGGTGGCCTGAGGTGCAGTGGGGAAGACCTGCCTGCTGCAGGCAGGTGCATGGGCCGGGAGAACAGCTGCGCAAGCACTCCAAGTCGCGGGAGGGCAAGCAGAGCCAAAGGAACACCCCCAAGAAGTGAGGGAACACTGTACTATGATTTCTTTTCTCCACCAATTTAACACAGTTTGTGACACACAAACAAAGTTTCTGGAGTGGAACAACTACTTTCAAAGTAAAGACCACCTAATGAAACATGAAATAGCATTTTCAGACCATGGTTTTGGAAGTTTCAAAAAGTTTTGAAGTTTTTTTCTGTGAAGATCAGAATTGACTTTAGAATTGAACCCCTACATCTGAAATGAGTCTTGAACCATTTTTGATCAACCAAGCCTAATGCCTATATGTTAAGTTTATGCAGAATGAGTTCTAAACTGTGAATAGTTTTTAAAGTAGTTTTATTGAGCATAAAAGACAAAAAAAAAAAACCACACACACACAAAAAGAAAAAAAAGAAAAAAGTAGTTTTTCTTTACATGTAAAGTGGGAGAACAATATATTAGAAGCAAAGTGGGAAAGAAGAAATAAGAAAGAAGAAAGAATTAAAAGAGAAAATATAATAATAATAATAATAATAATAAAAATATTGATAAGAAAAAAATAACTTCCATCTACCCGTCATTCTTCTGTACCATCTTCGTAATCTTGATCTTAGTTTCGGTCTCTTAGTCATCCCTAGTCCGTTAGATATCTCAAGAACTCTGACTTAATTTCCACTTTTTCTATTTATATTCTTAACTCTAATTTTAATTGTTTAAAATAGTCTTTTACTGGGTCCCAGTTTGTCTGTATTTTAGGTAACCCGTGGTTTGGTGTCAGCCAATATGTAAGTCTGTCCATTCCCATTATTTCTAATATCTCATTTTTGCCAATCGTCTATCTTAGGGACTTCTTTAAGCCTGAACTGTGAATAGTTTTGAACATTCCAATTTTTAAGACTTCCTTGCAACAGGAATAGATTCCTAAATCTATCAACCCCCCCCCCAAAAAAAAACCAAAAAACCCCACACAGAACAAAACGACAACAAGCAAAATAAAAAAATCCCAAACAAACAAACAAAACCCAAATCAATCACTATTCTGGATCTACTTTCCCAATAAATATGTAAAGCATAAATGCAACTGTCAGTTCAAATAAGAAAGAAGAATTAAATCCATGAACAAGCCAGTAAATCAACATTTATGTAAGGTCCATAAATTCAATGGGTCTAGTCTGACTAGAATTAACAATAAAATTTAGGCCTAGAAATAATTTTCTGAACACATTTTCAGAAAATGTTAAACACTGCCAATGAGAGACTGATGTACAAAAGAATGATGAATTCTGTTCTTGTTGTGGGTTTATCTGAGAAGCAGAAATAAAATGTGGAAAAAATGTGGAAAAATGTGGTTTTTCTTTGGTCATTCTATGCTAACCTAGGTTTGGAAATAAAATCCATTGGTAACAGCTTCTGAAAATCCATTTTCAAAGGATTCTATTCCACAAAGAAATACACAGTGCAATCCAGTTTCATCTACTTCCATACACACAACACTAGAGAAATTCCTCAATAGTACAGAATTATCAGCTATAGCCACTAAAACGTTTAGCACAATCAGTAAACTTAAGAGAAAGGCTTCATGGCTCAGACCTTTCTCACTAAGAGTGGAATAATAATAATACTAATACTAATAATACTACTACTAATAATAATTATTTATTTATATCCCACTTTTCTCCCTCACAGGACCCAAAGAGACTTACAACATATTAAAATCATGTAAACAACAATCCAAATACAGCTGATCTCTTACAGTCCAGGTTCTGGATTATTTACATGATGTTGCCATCAATAAGCAATTGACTCGAGTGGACTGCAAAGGCTATAAATTTCCATTATAATAATCATCTTGGTGTTGCTGAATGCAATATGCCCCCCCCCCCCGAAGAACAGTTTATCACATTCATGAACAGTGCCATGAAGATAGTAAATGCTAAGGAATCAATGAGCTCACATAACTTGGAATACAATTACTCCGCTATCAATTATTTATTTATTTCGGACGTTTATATTCCATCTTATCTCGACCTCCACAGAGGGACTCAGGGCAGCTAACAACAAAAGCATAGATATATATCTCAAGTAAAAACAGTATAAAACATTATAAAAACATCATAAAAACGTTAAACATTAGAACTATCACCAGAGTCCATTAAACCATAGCTCTACCATCATGTTGGTCTAGTCTGCAAAGGCCTGATCCCACAGCACGGATTTCACCTTTTTCCAAAAGTTCAGGAGGCAAGGAGAGGTTCTGATTTCACTTGGGAGGGAATTCCATAGCCGAGGGGCCACCACAGAGAAGGACCTGTCGTTCGTCCCCACCAACAGCAATTGCGATGGTGGGGGGACAGCGAGCAGGGCCTCCCTGGACGATCTTAAGGTCCTAGGTGGTTCATAGTGGGAGATACGTAGCGGGAGATATGCTATGTTTACCTTAGAAATAGTTCACCAGTTTTCTATTTCCTTCACTCATAACTGAAACGAGGTGGAACCACCACAGATATTCCAAAAGTTGGGACTAAGGTCTTATCTATACTGGGCACATACTCTGAAGTGGACCAGAAGTAGCTCCTGCATATCCAAATGGCATTCAAGGATCCTTAATGCAGCATAAATGAAGATGATCTGATTTAATCCTACATTGTGCAACAGTGGGAAATGTGCTAGAGTTTCACCAATATTCCAGGGCAGCCCTACACTTTGGGCAGACTGTGGACAGCACAAGCGACTGCAAAGTGAACTGGTCCGCTGTCTGCATGGGCTGGCACTGCCAACCTCTTTTCCCTGAATTTAGCAGTGCAGGAAAAGGGGGATGTGTTGGGCCTGTGTTGCCCTTCATAACTGCAAGAGTTCCTGAGTGCTCTTGACCACAGAGTAAAAGAAAGGCACAAGAAAGGTAAGGTGATGATCCAGTTGTGTCAATTGGTTTCAAAGATGGTTGTGAGATGGACACAGAGTGTATCGGCTCAATCAGGAATATTCCTAATCAAGATTCGCCCCGGATTTTGTGCTACATGTAAATGAGTCCTAAGAAAACTGAAAATTAAGTAAGGTGGCTGAAGTGCTCTATAGAGCTATTCATAGTGGGCACTGACTTTGCCTTCCAAAAGAAAACAATTCTTGTTCAATTTAGTAGTAAGTGAATAAACTCTTAGAGAAGCAGAAATTTGGAATTATTGGAAGAGCTTTTTTCCCACATTTTAGAATGCAATATACAATTCTATCTGTCTTGTGTGTCAATTAACCATTTTGAGTCCCAATTTTGGGAGAAAGGCAAGATATAAATTCACAACAATACATGTGTGATATAATATGAAATTTAAAGTAAGAAAAATAAAAAATCTGAAAAATAGTTGGTTGTTTCCATATATTTTATAAACTAAGCTTGTTAAATTCTTTAACATCATTGTAAGTAGACACTAAAGTATTTTAACATGTTGCCAGGTTTATAATTGGGACAAAGATCTGTCTTTCAAAGTTCCACATTTGTATTTAAAAAAAAACCCAGGGCCAAGCAAAGCTTTAAAATGCTTCCTTCCTGCTTTATTGTATGAACAACATTTGATTATCAATGTTCAGAAATGCTCCATAAAGAGGAGAACCTTAACCATAGCTATCTTCTCTATCATCAAAGGAGGGAAGATCAAGAATTCAGTATGTTAATATTGCTCAACATACTTGATTGAATAGAACAGATGTAGTATCTTGAAATTAATTGCTGTGTCCAATTTTGCACCTTACAATCTTGACCTTTTTTAACACACACAATATCATCAAGTACAGTTTCATTACCACTTTGAAAAAGCACATGTGAGCATGCCTACTTGAGATTCGAAAAAAGAAAACAAAACAGAACTTTTTTTTTGCAAAGGCTGCATTATGCAGCCAAACATATGGAGAGAAATGAATGGATGAGGCTCCTGTTCAATGAGATGGGTTATGCTAGCAGACTTAAATCCAAATCCCCAAACCATATTTCATTTATAGTGGCTCCATCCAATTTCCATTTGTTAAAAACAATAGTGAGCTGATGAGAAGGAAAAGTCCTCTTCCCCTGGTACACAGACAGTTGTCTCTGGCCAGACCGAGATAAAAATAAAACCTCAACTGGCACTATATATACCTGATGCAAACTCTAAGAATCATTTTGGGTGAGCAATACTTTCCCATTACATTAGAGCTAAAACACAACACTTACTATGGTGTGGAAAAGCAAGTCTTACCTGTCTTTCTGACATGACATAGAGGTAATTATGATCTGTAGAGAAAGCCATGTCTCGAAGAATAGTACTCCCGTCCTTGAAAATTGGAATCATTTCATACTGAATGCCACCATGAGGTGGTCCATCTGCTCGAATCTGGAATAAAGACAGAAATAGTACAGGTTAAAACACTTGGACATGTTAGTCTGGGATATCAGTATACAAAATGTTCTTGTAGCACTAACTGACAGAATGAAGTTGGTAGCATAAACTTTCATAGACCAACTTTGAGAAAACTATGTATACCACCTTTTAAATAAAGGGCTACCTAAAGCACTGTTTCTTAAACTGTGGGCCCCGACCTTAAATAGCTCAATGCTGGGGTCTCAAATTCTTTTCTGAACATCATCTTTGACCTCATCTGACAGGGCAATTTAAGCATCCTAGGATGCTTCCTTGGCAGTTCAGTGATGGATGGGCATGCTACCCATCCCACAACATTACTGGACTTCTGGCAGAGGCCCTGCCCACAAGTGGAGTGGAGGCATAATACAACACGTTCCTCCCAACATGGGAGCCTGCCCATGTTGTGCTGCCTCCAATGGAGCCAACACAGATCCTTGGCACTCGGGCGACACTCCCCACGTGTGGTTGGAGAAGCGTGGCCAAGAGGGAATGTTGATGGGTAAGCCACCAACACTCAGAAGTGTATGATAATGGCATCGACATCTCTGAAGTTTGGGTTCTCTCTCTCTCTTTCTCCTTCTCTCTTCTCACCCACAGACTGCAGTTTGGGTTCATAAGAGCTAGCAGAAACCAGAGTTCCATTGCACAATAAAAGAGCTGATGTGATTTTTCATTGGGGTTTGGGGTTTGCATAACATTTGCAAGTGGGACTATCATAGGAATGAGTCTTCATCCACATGAAAATTGCCTTCCACAACAGAAAAGTAGAGTTATCAGGGAGAAAGGTGCTGACTTAGCTTTCTAAAATTCTCTTACCTTATAAAAACGAAAAGAGGAAGGGGGGGGGGGGATCTATCGGTACTGTTAAAACTAATTGATTTGTGTCAAGTTCTCAAAGAAGTAGCAGTATTAAGTTTCTTGCAACATAAAAAGGATGAAGGGATGGTGAGACGAAAAAAAAGAAGAGTATTCAACCATGTATCCTAAATCTAGTCTGACATGATGCAGACCAGGCTAGGATTGTCAATCCAGGAAGAAGTAGGTTTCGTCTCATAAAAGTATTAAAAATGGCAGCAATAATTTGTGAATTTGCCTAATTTGGGGAGATATTTTCTTAAAAGTTAACAAGATTATTATAGGTAGCAAATGTTAAACTATTTAATTTGCTAGCTAGATCTGTTATACTCAAGTCCAGATCAGATCTATTACACTGGCCAACACACATTTTTGTGCCTCAAATGTTAGTTCTGTTTCTGTTTATATTTGACCTCCTGATTCCAAAAATGGCACCAGTTTCCCCCTATCAGCTCTAGCTTTTGAGATACAGAACTGTTGCCATTTGCTTTCCCATAGAGAATCATGATAATCATATCTAAGAAAACAAAGCCGATGCAATCTATCCAATGCAAATTTCTGAATCAGTGCCCCAGGAACAGGCCTAAAAACCAAGACACCAGTATTTTTTTTTATGATGTATTATCTGATGAGGAATCTAAAATGAAATAAATCACTGTTTAATTTTAGGGATCTCATATCTTTCTCAAATTTGCTGATTCCAGCAAAGAAAACACAGCTCTCAGCAAATAAACACATGTAGTGGGTATTTGGCTAGTTCTGTATGAAGACCTCCTAGCTCGCTAGTGCTGGTGATATTTTAGGCTTGATTATGCAAATCCCTCTCCCTGCAGGAAAGTGTAGCTCAGAATACAACAGACCCCACCATACGCAGTGGGAACACAACTGCTTGAGCACATCCCGGTCTCTTTCAAAATGTTAATAATTGATGGCCTTGGGGAAGAGGGGGGAGGGATAAACAAACAATTTACTTTGTATTTTCCTCTACTAGGATTTGCATATTTGAGTAGCCATTTGATTACAACATGGTGTCTACATAACACCAAGCTGCAAACATTGGCAACCATCAGGCGGGGAGATTAGACTATCCATGTGAACTAAGGGCTCTGTGAAATCTCCGGATAGCCCAGTGGCATTCGTTGACAGAGATTCTGTTACTTGTTGGCCAGAAAACTGCTGTGTGCAAAGGGGTGCTTCAAAGCACATGAGCTGCCATGCTAGAAAAATGGGAAAGGTGGTGGAGTTGCAGGGAGGGGGTGGTGGAAAGGGAATAAAAAGAGAAACTCATCACAAAAAAGCCATCTGCTCCATAATAATGCCTGGCTGTCTCTCATTGTCCCATCTTGCTACTTAGTGAGCGAGTATCTGATTGTAGTGTTAGGCCTAAATCATGAAAAAAACCTTGTTGCAAAGGATGAAGCTGAACTTCTAGGAAAGACATACAGGAAGTGGACAAGGACTGAGAGGAATCATTTACGAGTATGGGTTGTTGAATCCCATTCCAGAAATGACTATAAAATATTATACAAAAATATGATTAAATCCAAAAGGAAAAATATGTTTTATAGTTCATAATAAGCAAGGGAAGGCTGTACTCTTTCCAAAACCCCTTCAACATCTCTGCTCTGTTAGTCACTTCTAAGAAAGCAGACTGCTCTGTCCCTCAGCTCAGCTCTTCCAGCAATCCCATTTTCCACCCATCATTAAACCAGCTGTTTAAAAACGTTGCTAGGACAACAGCCTCCAAAGTTCTTCTATTAAAATGTCTGATAGAAATTTAATTAATCCTCATAGGCCAGCAGGCAATGTATTGCTCGGCCTTGTGTGGTGGCATTTCTTGATCACTGAGACATAGCTGGGTTGGGGTTCCTGGCAAAGGCACTTCGTCTTTTCCTTTGACAAGTGAATAATCAATGATCCTTATCAATCCAGAAACACATTTTTGGAGCAATTCTGAGGAGTAAAACTGCAATTCTGGACTATTGTGCCAAGGGGAAAGTTCAGTGCCCTTCTATGCTTCGAGTTCTCTGTAGAACATTGAAAGTGTCAACCCATTGTGTGAAAATGTCTCATTTGAAAATCAGTGTAGGAATTCTGCATGATCTAGAGCTATTTTTTCAGTCTGTCATCATCCTTTACTGAACTATAACTTTCACCAATACCAATGCTATCATCACATTCTACAGCTTGTATCTGCATGTGTGTTTACTTACATATGTATTTAGCTTGTATTTGTTACTTGCTTTTGTTTAAAGGAACTCAAGAGAACATATATTTCATCATCCACAACAACCATGTGAGGTTGTTCCTGTGGAGAGAGAACTACTTTCATAGACAGAATGAGATTCCAAAATGGATTACATGATGCAATTATAAAAGGTTAACACTGGTTTTTGATTGAAAATATATCACTGAAATCTAAAATATGTAATATATCAGTGTGTAAGTGTAATGTGTAGAGAGAAAAAACTGTCATTTAAATCACACATTACAATGCATGTATTTCACAGAAACCCCTACTATTTGGAAATGTTTTCTATACACTTTGTTGTTATTAGTTAGGAACAAGGGTTGAGAGAGAGGATAGACCTGTGAAATATGTTCATAAGTACATATAGTTTGATATCACTTCCTGAACTCCAGTGGAGTTTGGTTATCTTTATGTCAGTTGGGTGGCAAATCTATTTCAAGCTTTAATCTGTGACCTGCCTCAAGCCATGAAGAGAAGTGGGTAAGAAATAATAATAATCATCATCATCATCATCATCATCATCATCATCATCATCATCTGAAATGAAAAGGATCTTTACAACATGCTGAACCTTATCCCTCAAACAGGCTCACCACTTGGATAGTTCTTTCGAAGTCTGGGCCAGAAATCTGAATAGATTCATTGCCCACAGACATGAGAGCCATTGGGTTGTGCACATGTCATTAACCTCACACCAAATCATACTATGGATCTAATATCAATTTGCAATATTATCATGGAAAGAAAGGGCAAAACACCAGGTTCTTTCAAGTGCTCACTTGTGGAAGTATATCTTTGAATTGTTGAATCAGAAAAAAACAAAAACAAAACATCCTTAAGAGTGTTGTTTAGTGTCCACTCTATCTGTCCTAAGGTAAGAATGGAACATTTTATAAGTGGTCATAGGTATCAGCAGTTCCTAGAATAGCATGCTTTTGTCATTACAGAACATAACAACTGTTTTGCTGCGCCATATCGAAGAACTATTGATCTGTGACAGAGAAGACTCATAGTGAAAAGATAGTTTGACAAATATGATTGATCTGTGTCACCTGATATGTTCCTATGAGAATATAATGGCTGGAGAGGTAGAACAAAACCTCCCCAACCATGGGTAATACATCAGGTGTTACTGTCCTGAAACATGATGATCTGTACTTTGAATAGGGCAGAAATGAAGCTAATAATGCAACTATAGATCTTAATGGTACCAGGAAAAGGAGAAAAAGCAACATTTTGTGTGATAACACATGAAGAAAGATGAATACAAGAGCAAGCATAGCAACTTGGTATTGTTCAGATAGTTAAGACTGCAATGTCCAGAAGACTCAGAAATGTATATACACAGATCAGGAAAATTGGGGATTACAATCTAAACTCCTTGATTTATATAGACATGGCATTCCAAATTATGTGTACTCACCATAGATATCCAGTGATGGCTCAAATGCAAATGGTCATGTCAGCATCAGTGTAGTGATTGACTCACTCCAAGTTTTAGTCTAAATTTAAGACTTCTCCAAAGGGATGAACCTTAAGCCACAGAGAGGTTTATAAGCTTGGATATTTCATTTAAAGTTTAGACTAAAACTGATTTCAATACAACATTGATGTGAAAGAGACCACCTGCCACTCTGGAGACCTTTAACTAAAGCTAAATAAATATGACTCACAGGTCTGTTATCCATTTCCTGGTTTCATAGGAATTCTGAAAGAGCTAAACTCTGATCTGTTGGTTAACATGTTGAATATCAGACAAAATACACAGAAAAGACCAGAAGCTTTGAGAGCAGAAATGATGCCCACCCAGAATAGTTCATACCACAGAAGATGGAGACTATCCTAGGAGTCAGCTGTAATTGCT